CTGCTAATGACTGTCTGCCCATGTCCTGCCTGAAATACCATGATTGTTTATGAAAAATATCTTTAATAAAGCTGGACACAGTTTGGCTTGGAAAAAAAATCTAATAAGTACCTAGAAATCCACAAGATTAACATTTCCAAGTTAGTTTCCATCTTAAGATCAGCATAGATATTCAGTATGACAATGTATCTACAAAATAAACCTATCCCCACAACTGGTGTTGAATGTTCTATTATGGTTATGAATTTATACACCATTTCAAATGATGAAACTATCATATTTACCTTCTCCTTCTTTGATAATATAAATGCACCAACCACTGGGCAATGAAAGGCCATATGATAGCAAAAGTTAATGCACCAGGAGACATCTCAAAGGGCCACCAGGATGGTCTCTGAGAAGATAAAAAAACAAGCTGGTCACCAAACTATTAAATATGGCATGCAGACATATTCAGACATACTAGTTCATAATTTTGAAAGTATATAAACAGCAACAAATCTCATGTTTGCTAAAGGGAGGGAAAGATTCTGCATTTCAGAGTATAATTCAGTAAGCAGACTTTCATGAGTAATGCAGAGTTATATAAACACAAAATAAATATATATTTTTTTGAGAGGTTTTTGCTATAGGGCGTATGCGCTCGCCAGAGAGACAGAGAGACAGAAAGCGAGAAATCACCCCCCAAGGGGGATGGCCACGCCACAATCCCTTCTTTTCCACTCTGCTCTCAGGATCTTGGGCACACATGCAAACACCTGGTGTGAGTTTCAGCCACCAGGTCCACGACTTGAACCATGGTTGACTACATGGGAGTTCAGTGACATAGCCATTATGCTAACTGCTGGTCCCACAAAATAAATATTTTTTAACTTCAAAGCTCTAAAAGGTAGTTTTCATTTAAGATGCTTTAAGAATTACATATCATCTAAATGTACTGTAATTTATTATTTATTTGAAATCCTGGCAATTAGATTTTTTTAAAAAAACTGCTTACCTGTGAGGAAGGTTGACTACTAGTCTGTAATGTTGACAATTTTGCCTATAAATACAAATTGAAGTGACTTAGCTTTGACCAAAAGAAAACAATACAGTAATTTTTCTGTTTCCTATCTTTAAAAAAGGGGAGGGAGGTCGAAATATAAGCATATCCTCTATTTTTCTGCTAATTACGCTTTGATTATTCTGAAAAGAACAAAGGCCTTTAAATTGAGAATCAAAAAAATACTTTGACACTTCATTTCATTTCATTAACTTATTTCTATTTATTTCTTTTAATTACCATAGGACACAGAGAGATTGGGGGTGGGGAAGCACCCCTTAGTGGGGCATAGCCATGCCATAATCTCTTCTCCATTTCTCCGTTCTGTCAGGATTTGAGGCATGCACATACCCACATATGCACACACACACAGGCATCAGAATTGGGATTTGAGCTAGTCAGCCCCATGGGATCTGGCTCCCTTAGCCATTAGGCAATAAGGCTAGGGCAGACACTTCGTATGTTATAGTTCAAATTATAAAAAATTATACAAAATAAAACCTCAAATCAATCTAAACACTTACATTTTTATAATCTTATTAAATTACCTATTCAACTTTTCTTAATTATTTCCTTAGTTTCCATTACAAACACATTTGAGATCTACAGCCTTGATTATTAATTAAAAAAAAAAAAAAACTATGTAAACAGTATCCAAAGATGTGCTTTATAAATTCATGACAAGTTACTGGGGCCAAAAGATGGCACAGTGATTATGTTGCTAGACTCCCACATGGCTGACTACGGTTTGAGGCCTGGACCCAGTAGCTTGAAAATCATGCTGGATGCGTATGGGTGTGTGCCCAAGATCCTTGGAGGAGAATGAAAGAGAAGGGACTGCAGTATGGCCATCTCCCCAGTGGGTGATTTCTCACTTTCCCACTCACTGTCACTGTGTCTCTCTTTTCTTTCTCCCTGATGAGCATATATATACCCTATGGCAACAACAAAAAAAGAAAATCATGACAGTTATAGCAAAAGAGGTATACAATAGATATGAGAAATAAACTATTAGCATTGTAGATTTTTAATTGAGAAGGATCATAAATTAAAAATGAAAAACTTTAGACTAATTTAGGAAATTTAGATTCCAATTTGGCTCATTCCAAAGACAAGTTTCTATAAGCTATTCATTAGAAATTTATTATTACACTTTCCACTTACTGTAACTTTAGAGAAATGGTATAAAGATTAATGAAACCTACTCATTCAGAAAATGCTTATCATTTATATGCCAGTCACTATTGTGGGGCCTAGGGATAGAGACAGGAACAAAATGACAAACATCTCTGCCTTACTGGAGATTACATACTAGTGGAAGGGTACAGAAACAACAATAAGATATTAAAATATATAGTACGTCAAGTGGTGATAAATGTAAAAAAGAAAAGTAAAGCAGGGAAGGGAGGGGCCAGCCAAAAGTGTGGGGGTTAAGGTGGCTGGATCTCATATGGTCAGCTGAGTAGTTTGAGTCCGAGACCCAGCAGCTTGCAAAACATGCCTGGCACATGTGTGTACACACCCAAAATCCAGAGAGGAAAAGAGGAAAGAGGATGAAGCAAGGCCATCCCACTGGGGGGGTGGGGGGGAGGAAGTGATTTCTCACTTTCCTTTCCTTTCTTTGTCTCTCTCTGTCTCTCCAGCAGGAACAAACACAACCCTATAGCAAAAACTAAAACCAAAAAACCAGGGAAGGGCAATGGAGCATATGAGAGGAGGGGAGGCTTGTATGCAATTTTAGATAGGCTGGTCAGGAAGGCTCAAAACTATGGCTATGTGGAGGAAGTGAGATGGTGGCACGGCAGTAAAAGATGATGCTCTGAGGCTGACCCATGTGGGAAGTTGCCAGATTCAGTCTGGAGACCGACCACCTTCAGAACACCAGGCATACACACCCGAGATCTGGGCCTGGCTGAAGGCTGGCTGTGAACCACTGCAGCATCAAGATGCTGCTGGAGGTGCTGCCTCTGTCCCTCTCTCACCCATGAAATAAACAAACCAACTGGCTGAGCCAGCCCATGGCTTGGTGCTGAAAGTGGCTGGATCCTGCATGGCCAACTGTGCAGTTTGAGTCCTGGACATGGTGGCCCGAGAAACATGCCAAGCACGTGAATATGTGCCCAAAACCCGAAAAGGAGGGAGATGAAGGGATTGTGGCCTGACCGTTCCCAATAGGTGATGTTTTCTCACTTTCCCCTTCTCTGTCTCTCTCTGGTGAGGAAATGTGCCCTCTGGCAAATTAAACACACACACACATGCACAGTGGCTAATTAGGGTAACAGCTCTATGTACAGGCAAATTTAAAGACCAGAGTAGGAGGGAGCCTCCTGGTTCAAAGAACAGCTAGGGGCCAGTGTGCTAAAGTAGTTTGAGCCAGGATAGCAGGAAAGTGTGGTGGGAAGTGATGAGGCTTTTATATGCTTTTGTTGTGAGTAGTGTGCCCCATACGACTACAGCTTACAGGGAAAACTAAACTATAATAGTTGCCTCTGGATGCTGCATTAGTCTTTATAGACAACTAAGATCTTAAATGACAAATTACAGTTCTAGTATATCCAAGGTGACTCCAAGTCCTGAAAGAGTCAAGACCAGGTACTGATTATGTCATTGTCATACTTCCTCATAAGGATAAAGTTCAACCAAGAATGTACCTTAGGGGACTTCTCCAGACTAAATGGAATAAAGGGGAGATTTACAAAATGCCTCCTGGTCCCCCAAAAGAATGACTCTGTAATGATGAGCTGTAGGGTACTAGAAAAGGTTTATTATTAATATAGTTCCTGGGGCTGGCAGGTGGTATGGTGGTTGAGGCACTGGACTCCCACATGGCTGACCACAGTTTGAGTCCCAGACCTGGTGGCTTGCTTTCTCACTTTCCCTTTCTCTCTCTCTCTCTGTCTTTTTCTGGTCAAATTAAAAAGCAATAATAATAATAATGAATAAGCTTTCTGTCTGACATCTTAGCGAGGCTGCAGTGGCTGCTGTTGCTCTCTGGGCTTCACGATGCCACCCAAGGACAACAAGAAAAAGATGCTGGGAAGTTAGCCAAGAAGGACAAAGACCCAGTGAACAAATCTGGGGGCAAGGCCAAAATGAAGTGATCCAAAGGCAAGGTTCGGGACAGGATCAATAATCTGGTCTTGTTTGACAAAGCTCCATATGACAAACTCTGCAAGGAAGTTCCCAGCTATAAGCTCATAACTCCAAGTGGCCTCCAAGAGGCTAAAGATTCACAGTTCCCTGGCCAGGGCAGCACTTCGGGAGCTTCTTAGTAAAGGACTTATCAAAGTAGTTTCAGAGCACAGAGTGCCTGTAATTTACACCAGAAGTACCGAGGGTGGAGATGCCCCAGCTGCTGGTGAAGATGCATGAACAGACACAACCAACTGTACATTTGGAAAAATAAAAATTTATTAAACCAAAAAAATAATAATAATAAATAAATAAATAATTTGAAAAAATAGTTCCTGGGGAACCAGCAGTTAGCGTAATGGCTATGTCGCTGGACTCCCACGTAGTCAACCACAGTTCGTGTCCTGGTCCTGGTGGCTTAAAACTCACACCAGGTGCATGTGCGTGCGTGCCCAAGATCCCGAGAGGAGAATGGAGGAGAAGGGATTGCAGCGTGACCATCCCCTCTGGAGGGTGATTTCTTGCTTTCTGTCTCTATGTCTCTTTCTCTCTGTCTGGCGAGTGCAAGCACCCTATAGCAAAAACCTCTCCAAAAAAAAAATAGTTTCTGAAGCCATTAGGTGGCGTGGTGGTTAAGGTGTTGGACACTCCCACATGGCTGACCATGGGTCGAGTCCC